ATTTAATTTGGAAACACCCTGTATATATATATATATAAATATTGTTTATATATATTGTATATACTATATATAAATATTATATATATACGTATATACAATATATAATAGAAGAGTCTTAAAATATTCTTAAAAAAACTATTTAGTGTATTTCGAATTATTCTTTGCAAAAATTAATTATTTAACGATCGAATCATTTATAATTTTCTGACACCGCAAGTGACTACCACCTTGAAACAAACGCAAAGGTCATACAGATTGAAGATTTCTCTACACGAGTACTATTCCCGTTAGCAAATAACTTAGGTACTTATTCTAAGTACTTGCGCCACTGGCACTAAACTTTTATTGGACCTCACGGTAGCTGGTGCATCGCTACGCGTAAATGCAAGCTCGCGTAATGTTTGCGATGACCCGCTGATGATCGTTCGAGCATCATTGTGTCTAAGCATCTCGTGCCCGATGACGAGTTTACATGACTCAAGAAGAAACATTAATGCACTTCTTCCTTGCGCAACGAAAAGTCTGTTGGCTTTTTTCGCCACTTTTTCCCCGCATAAATGAAAAGTCGTCGTCGTGTGAAATGCGCCTTTTGCATTCAGATGCGCGCCACCCGTGATTTATCACATAAGATCAAATAAAATTATATTAATAATTAATGTTGAAAAAATTATGTTAATGAATATAAATATATTAAATTGTATGAAAATTTTTATATTTACAAAATTTTATTATAAAATATCAAGAAACTACACGCCGTTAAGTAAACTGTACACTATTAAGTTAATTACATATTTCTTATTTACGTATTTATTTTATTGCAGAAATTGAAAAATAGATATAAAATAAAAATAGAAATATTGAGAAAGGAGAGGAGTAATATAAACCTTTGGTATTTTAAATTTAAGATGATAAGAAGTAAAAGTAAATATATATACATATTTTTAATATTTTTATTGTAAATACAACTAAAAAAGTTTTTTATTAAAATTTCACATGAGTACCTTTAGTGATACGAAAGATGTCGGAGCTAGTATTCCACTTCACAAGTACAATGTAGCATATAGTTAGTTTATGGTGCTAATGGCGGTCACCATTCGATTGCATAAGACATTTACGTTTGACACCTTAGTAGAGAAAATTAAGACCTTGATATACCAGAAAAAGAAATCCAAAGGAGGATACCAGAGAAAAGAGATGGCCAAAGCATGCCTCTTTCGCTCCATTCAAAACATAAAATTAGGTAAGCGTATGTCCTAGTAAGAAATGACAATGGAATCGACATCGATTTGATGTTTGGGATGTAACACCAAACAAAAAAACTTAGATTATAGTATCTACATAATCTGATTTCTAAGACAATATTAAAACCTTTCAAATAGCACATAACTTAAGTGATGTGTATCATTCGTATAAAAGAATTGATATCACTAACTAGCGACAAATTAAATTCCATAAAATTGCAAATTGATAAAACTATTTAATATCAAATAATTTTTAGGCCATAACTGAAAGCAGTTACAAGTTATAGTCTTAAAGCTTTTACGATGAGAGAAATTAGCAGATGAATATCAAAATTTTACCGACAGCTTTCGTCAACGGTCGTAAATCGATTAGTCTTACATCATGCGCAGTCTATAATACTCTTGCGCAATACTAAAATGTCAACAATATCAAAATCCACAAACTGTAAATACGGTCCAGTGAAATGTAAACCCGCATCACCCTCGCTTTACGACGGCAATTAAATTCGATCGGATATATATACCGGCTCCTACATTACGTTATATCAGCCAGAATCAATAGAGATCGGCCTTTGACGGACATACGCACGGTAGACATTTACAATAGCAAAGTATGTTACCATCTTCCCAGACCATCCAATCGTTTACTGTCATGGTGGTATTTATCGCCACTTTGAATTACACTCTTAGACCTCAAAACCGTGCAAAAAAGCATGTTGCATAATGGAACCGTGAAGTTTATCGTCGCGTTAGCTGTGGCATGTAATTATCGGAGTGCCCATATGACCCTTCCATCATTTAATATTACATAGCGAAGCAAATATATAAAACGAGATTTGGTCCTGTTGACATTTAAAAGATATATGTACGTTAACTTTATTTTCGGCGGATCACGGTGCGGAAGTTTCAATATCCTTGTCTTTCTGTAGAAAATAATGCAGAGAAAGGAGTGGTGGGAATATTGTAATCGATTATGTGGTTCAATGACATTCGATCAAGTACAACTTGATTTATTTTGATTCATTATTTTTACTTATTTAGTAATAGCGATTTATATTAGTAACGTTCTAGGTAATTTTAGTGGATCCTTCAATCAAGCTACATAAGAAGATTACTTAAATGTAATATTGTGTCACACTATTGTGATGATTAGATTGTAAAATTAATTACACTGATTGTAAATTTAATTGTTGTCAATAAATTTTATTATTTTAATATATATTACTTAAAATTGCACATAAACACTAATAGACTTCATACATATTTATTTTCACGTATTGTAAAAGATACTAAAATTATAACTATGTATTACATATACTATAACTTACATTACATAAGTAATTCAAAGCAGAGTTTTTTTAAATTCAAGAGAATATGATGGATTTTTTGAAAAGTATATTCTTTTTCAGCATAAAAACCTCCACAATAAGGAACACTTACTACCTGTTGACAAATAAAATGTTGATCAAAATTTGTTGTTCAGTGTTATTAACATCAAACTTGCATATATTTTTTCACATATACGACTGTTCCTGCGTATTCTATCAGAATAAGAACATCGCGGAGCTTGATTTGACAGCGAACATTATTCATCTTGCTGCCACCGAATTCGCGAAATTTTTTTTAACGTCCAATGCATATATGTACCAGTATTCAGCGACATAGATATGATATCGGCATTCAACACACGTCCTCAAGTCTCTCGAAATCTCCGGACGTTCACCGACACGCTCTTGGATCAGGGACGAATACGGAGTCCTTCAGCTATTGCCATTCAGCATCCATCGTTCGTTCTGTCAGACCTTTGGAATACCGCGGATGGCTCCGTCCTTCTCATGAGATGCTCACTCTCACTTTCTCTCTCTCTCTCTCTCTCTCTCTCTTTGTTCGACTTCCCCTCTATCCTTTTCCGTCTTTCTCCAGCTCTTTCTCTCCCTCTACCTTTCCAACCCCCACCTGTATATGTGCTTGGAAGTAGAAGAATTACAGCATCCTCCCGCGGACATCTCATGCTTGGCAATAATCATCATGGACCGAACGTTCTGTCCTCCCCACCAGCCAATCAGGTAAATCCTATAAATGCTCTTGGTCGTCCGCAAACGAAGAAGTCACCTCCCGGGACGCTCGCGCTCTCCCGAGTGAGGCATGTGTCCGTTTTGAAGTGTCCGTTTTGTTTTGGTCATCTTCATCGGTGATCAGCGCAGCGATCTAGCCATGGTAAGTAGCAGTGTATCACAAATCGTGGACGCAAAAGTGATGTGAGAGAAAATAGGCACGAACGGGAAGGGGTGGTGTATTCGACGCGCGAAGGGGTTGTGGGTACGTTTCTCATCGGCGAGTGTTCTGGAGAAGTGAGATACAGTGAAGAAATCTGGTGGAAGGTTATAGCTGCTATTCGAGAATAGAGATTGAAAAATTGAACTTTACACGGTACCCTTCACCTTTCATCGATCTTTCAATCCAATGGTCATACCATGCTGAAGTTCTAAAAATTTTTTCTTTGCACGTTTTCGTGCAAAACATCGCAGTAATGTTGCATCTCGTGGCAGATGAAAACATAAAAGTAAAAGTGATAATCCCGTTGCCATATTTAAATATTTAAAAAAGTGATAAGAAATCAAAATTTGTAAAAAAAGAAGAAAATGTTTTACTTTTTGTATTAAAAAACTCATAATTCTTATTTATTAAATATTTGATATATAATATTTTTTATATTAATTAAATTTTAAACTAAATATTTCTCTTAATGTAATGTAAAATTCTATTATTTTTTTACTTTGTAAGATTTAATTGAAAGTTTTATTTCGGGTGTTGTTAGCTTTTAATATTAAACTTTTTTGATTTTCACAGAAAAAAATTAAAAATTTTTAAAAATATTGTCGAGTATTGTTACATATGTCTTTTTATGAGACATTCTACATATATTTCAGTTCTACAGTTAAGTTTCCTTTTTTGTCGTGCTGGGATAACATAAAAAATTCGCCGTAGAAAGTATCGAGCCCAGCGACAGCAAAGATGCAACGACGATAATTTATTCCGCATGCACTCTCGTGACAATGGCGAAAACACCCGGTTGTCTTGGCGCCTTCAATTTTCGACTCTTACAAGCGTTATGTTCGTCATGTGCACTTTCTTTTCTACAAAAGAGCGTTTTCATCGATGAGTCTGTCGTTTGGTATTTACACATAAACCCGGTCTTCTAGTAAGAATATAGTGAGACAGGTGCGGCAGGTTGCAAAAATGCCAAGAGTTATTGTCCCTTAACTTGAAATCCGTTTTGTCCGATATATTTTTTTATAATTTTGTTAGTTTTTCAAATTTCTCGTAATGAAAATTCTTTTTTTTTTTCGAAAAAGATGTAATGAAGTTATCATGCGCAGGTGAAAGAAGAATAGTGAAAGAAGAGTAGGCAGACTAAAAATTTCGTTTAATAAAATAGATTGTAATCATTTTTTAGAATTCAGAAGTTTTGTTATTAAATTGAAAAAGAGAGTGGTAAAGTTAAATATTTTGAAACTCTTTTATCGCTAATTAAATATTATTAATTGTCTAAATTTTATTGTTAATTAAATATTGTTAGTTGAATTATGAATTCTTGTATAATTTGGAAGTTCGACTATACATATATACACATACTAGAAAAAGAGTCTTGAGTTGTAGAATTCTGGTGGAAAATAGACAAATCAGAGTTTGCTATTTAAATACATTAGAATTTTAATCGCGAGATGTCAACCAAATGTCCAATTACGATAACCTGCAGTTGCAGAATTCTGGCTGATATGATCAGAATATACTGGTTCGTTCATTCTCAACTAGAAATTTTACTCAATGCATCAAAACTGTTCATATTTTGTATTAAATTACAAATTAAATAATAAATAAAGAATTGTGGAAACGTTTCTCAAGTATATTTTAAAAGTACAAGCTTTATTTAGAAGTCCATTAAGTGCAAATCTTACATTCTCTTCGCGTTGAACAATCTTAATACATGAAATTTCTAAAGAACCATTCACCTAATTTATTAACTTGTTTATATTTATTAACATAGAAATCATTTTAGATTATTATCTCCTCGGTATGCTTCGTGATTGCTAAAAGCATTCTAAAATAAAAAACGTTATTATTAATCTTTTCTCTTACAAAATATATAAATTCACAAACTAGTGAATTGAATTAGATGTATTGGAAAAAAAGTTTGATTACGTTGATTAGAATTCTGGTTGAAAATAAACAAATCAGAATTTTTTGGTTGAATTTATTATATATAATTCTAGTTGAGATAATCAGAATTTTAATTGATATAATCGGAATCTTCTGTGATTTATTCTTTTTTAATTAAAAATTTTCTTCAGTATAACTGAAAGATAATTTGTCAGTAATTTATATAATATTTATATTTCTTCGAACTCCATCGATCGAGTTAGAAGTGCATTATTCTTTCTTAATATGCACTCTGACAAAAATTTCTGATTGAACGAACCAGAAGATTCTGAGCACATTAATAAGAATTCTAATTATTTTAACTAGCGAATTATAATAGATTCAATTAAAAAATTCTAATTTGTCCATTTTTAACCAGAATACCAATTAATGCAACCAGACTTTTTTTCCAGTATGTGGATTAAAATGAGAACGAAATGTATGCATGTAACGAAATAAGTTTTCGTCCGGTAAAGGTCAGTCGCGCGGTTTCTGCGCATAAAAAGTCACACGCCATCAAACTGTTCGGTTCGCGTGCCATTAGAGATCTCGAAGATCTCATGGCGTAATACAACCGCGTTCTTCTTCGGCATCAAATAAGGTACAGTTACGATATCTACACAAGTCTCTCACCGGTTCACGGCCTAGCACGCCTTATTCAAATTAGGTGAATCCAAACAAAGTACGGAAGATACTTGAATCGACGGTAGTTCTTTGATGATTTTAATCGCTTTCATTTGCTGACTCTCACTTTTTTCATTCATCTCTTGTTTCTGCTTCATCAGAATGTCTTGATATTGCGCTCGTTATCTATGTACTTGAAAAATGATATTTAAATCTAAGAGTTAAATTAAAATCCATTTTAAATTGAGATTTTTATTGCGGAGTAGTTTTAATATATTTAATTTTTCCAAAAATCGCCATCATTATAATATATATATATATTTCACATTGAGAAAAAAAATTGTTACAATTATTATAGTTTATATATTTGTAATTTATAATTTCTTTTAATTATAATTTATATTTATAGTTATTTTCATTATATATTTTTTGATAGAATTATAAATATAATTATTACTAACATTTATAGCAATAATGATTGTAAAATAGAATTTGCATTGAGTTAGAATTTTATCATAGAATTTGCATTGAGAAAAAAATGTTTGGCATTTGTGAGATTATTGTTGTATGGTAAAATAATTATGGGAACGTTAAGAATTCTATTTTACAAGAGTGTAGCATAATACCCTACGAAACCTCTCGGTAGCTAATCAAGCCTTCATGATATAATCTGTTGATTAAATAAAGCCTATACGTTAACGAGTAACTATCGACAAGTAGCAAGATTAGCGAAATTGTCGTGCAATAGTTTAGCACCGGCGCGATGCGATAATTGAAATTCTTGCTCAAGTCAACCGAGGGTTAAAGATCGGCGCAGATTAAACCTTGCATAACTCTTCACATACGTATAATTAATTAGTGTCGTCGTTTAGTTGTAAATAAATTTTTATATTGTTATAAAAATCATTATGATTGATTTGGTGTAATTTTACAATTATATTTATGGTATTTGTACATAAAAATTATGAATGAGAAGTACAGATACCTACGTAATAAGATAAACTTTACGTCAATGGCACAATTCCGCATGCGGTGCAAAAACATTATATTTATCTGTAATATTCATCAGCATTTAACACATGAGATAATAGAAATACGTATTCGATCATTAACTCGAAAGTTACGCGAGTCAAACGAAAGATTTTAGCGTCGCGTTATAAGAAATATTATGATACTTTCGAATTAATGTAATATCATATATGTGTATATGCAAACATTTTTAATGTTTCCTAATTAAATAAGTGTATCTTTTAACTGTTCAGATTATTAATGAAATATAGATATATAATAAAAGAATATATATTAAACACAAATTAATAAAACTACAGATGTAACAAAATACGTTATAATTATTATTATTGATCGACATAACGTACTTTAAAGAAATTAAATCTGTTACATTGTATGAATAAATTAAAGAATCGTAGAAAATATATATAATAACGTTGTTTATTTATACAAATTTATATTTCGAATTGTAATTTACGATTAACCGATTATAATATTAATTACTCATTTTGTAACGCAATCGTAACTTTCACTGATTTATCCGTTACCTCGGCTGAATGTCAATGACTGCGCATCATTAGCGATCCGCAAAAATGTCGTAATTACTGCCGAAGCATGTGCTCGGCATGTTACGCAAACAGATCTTTTACCGCGAGAAAATTTTTTTCTTCTAAATCCCCAGATTATCGTCCACTGACAGAATGATGAATGATCCTGTTGACGATTCGTCACGTTCGAGGATTCGGTATCTTCACGGTTTACTTCGTTTTAATCGTCACAATTGCCATCACAAAACGATTTGTTCGATCGTTGAACTATTAGAGTTGATATATGTTACGAGCAAAGGATGAACATAATAACGACATAAGATATTTTTCCGGAAAAAATGGCTTCGCTGAAGTATTTGAAGATTTAGCTAGATACACATCTAAAAATAATTTTATTGGACTATCAAAATAATTATGCTCAAATATATTAACTCAAGATGGAGTATCAAATATTTTTTTGCAGCATTCCCGGGTTCACAAGTCGATTTGAAATCGATTGATTTTTAGGACCATTTGATTTGATATCTACTAGATATTTTGTTGATCTTCGAAAGAAAATCGACATTTCATCGGTGCAACGTTGATAAAATGTCAATCTTCTTCGAAGATTAATAGAAAATGTAGTCGATATCAAATTAAACGGTCCGAAAAATCAATCGATATTAACTTGATTTCGACTTATGGACCAGGGTTGCTCAGCATGCTTGAATTTATTTTGGCTCAACAAAATTATTTTCAGATTCGCATCTAGCTAAATTTTTAAACATTTCAACAAAATTATTCTTTCGATGTACCTAAAATTATAATCGTTTCTTATGTTATAAAATTGATCTCATT